AAGTCTTCTCCTTCTCCTTCTCCTTCTTCTTTTTAAACCTAGATCCCATCTTGGAAAGGAGACATGGGAGGGCAGACTTGCCAAGAGGTTGTATCTAAGAAAAGTGAGTTAATCATAACTGGCAAGTGTCAGAATTTTTGGTTTTGTTCTTTCAACTCTACCTAATCATAGAAATGGGTAATCTAGGGGAAAAAAGTGATGAGTATAGAAATATTCTTTTTAAAGCAAAATTTCTTTTTTTTCCACAGTCATTTTTTTACCTCATTACCATTATCTCTATCAAATCCTATTTAGTTATAGAAAATCTTTAGTTATAGAAAAACCAATCCTCTATCATGACAATCTCTTTTCTTGTTCTTCTCTTAATTCCTCAACATCTCAGCTTTTCTTGCTATTACCCTAATGATTTAAATGATTTCTCCTAAGCCAAATTTTCCTTTGAGTCACTTCTTAGATGACTTAAAAACTGACATATGTTTACATGATATCAACAATTATACAAAGATCCTCACATTTGCATACATTGTTTCTCAATACTTAAATGTTCATACAATAAATATACCTTTATTTAAAAACTTCCTATAAATAGATATTTAACTTGGATACATTTAATATGATTATTATGCTATGAAAAGTAAATGCTACAACCAACACTTCACACACACACACACACACACACACACACACATATATATATATATATATATATTTCTATAAGTGCAAGCATATGATAGATTCTCAAAAGTGGAAGAACAGGATCAAATATAATGGACACTTAATTTTAATAAATTCTGGCTGAGTCGACTCTAAAACTGCAATTACACTAACAATGAATGAGAATCCGTTTCTCCAACACTCTATTAAAACTGGACATTATCATTCTTTTTAGTGTTTACCAATATGATAGGTGTCCCATTTAAGGTTACAATTCCCTCTTAGTGATGTTAAGTCTCCATTCTATAAGCTTATTAGAAATATTTAATTATTTCATTTTCTACAATTATTCTCCAGTTATATATTGGTATGTTTCTTCTTCTCTAAGGGTGTGTTGTATTTGCCCTTCTTGCAAATACATATTTTCCTATCTGCCATTTCTTTTCTATTACTTATTCACAGTGTTTTTTTCATTTTATATTCATATACGTCAGTTTATTTTTCCAGAATAATCTATGTCTATTGTTTGCACACTACTTTTTAGAATCAGGTATTGAATTTTAACAAAAGCTTATTTTAAAAACATTGAATGACATGATCATATGGTGTTTCCCCTTTAATGTATTGTAGTAATGCTGTAGAAAACTGATTTTCTCATTAAGATATTATATGGACTCTTGAAATAAATATTTTACTTAGTCAATAGGATTTGATTAACATCATACCATAATTTTGCTTGACCTGCCAGTAATTTTCTTTTTGGTGCCACCCATGTTTCATTGTTTTAAAGTTATGACACAATCACAAATATATGAATAAGTTTTCCATATTTCTACAAGGAAATTTATATAAAATGGAGACTGCTCAATCTTGAAAAATCTGTGGATATGCTTCTATAAAATAAGACACAGATACTTCATTTCTTTTAAAATGTCTTCCATAAAAAGTTCTATATTCAGGTTTTTAATTTCTTGAGTTAATCTGGAAGTTTAAATTTTCCTAAAAAATAATTCCTTTCATCTTGATTTTCTGAGTTATTAACTAGGTCTTTTTTTTTTTCAAATTTTCATGTAAGTTATTTCTTATTGGTAGTCATTTTTTCAATTTTAGCAGTCTAATTTCACTTTTTTTTAGAATTGTCAAATATTTTAAAATTTATCACTTTTTTTTAAAGAAACAAGCTGAAATTTTGCTGACAAAATTGCAACATTTATGATTTTCTCATTCTCTGCTTTTATTTTTAGCTAAATATTTTATATCATTTTCTTTGGATTTATTTTAATTTTTAAATTTAATCCCTCTTATCTTTATTATTTATTTGTATATTTTCTAAATATATGAATTAAAAAGATAAATATTTCTTGAAAACCTACTTCGCATTCTGTTTTATTTATTGATGTATTTTGTTGTAGATGGACAAAATACCTTTATTTATGTATTTATTTTAATGTGGTGCTGAGGATCAAATGTGCTAGGTGAGCACTCTACAGTTGAGCCCCAGCCCCAGCCCTGTATTCTATTATTATTATTATTATTAAACAAAAATTTGCCAGCAATGGTTAACTACCTCTGGATGAGCTTTCTGCTAGAACCTCCCACCTAACACACTTCTATTTGAAAACATTGAAAAAAAAAAAAAAGAACTGAAATTTATTGGGAATAAAGTTAAAAGATCTGAGAAATATTTAATTGGAGTCCCAAAAAGAAAGGATAGAGAGAATGGTACAGAAAGCATATGAAGCAAAATTTCAAAGGGAATGGAAGCCCAGAGGGGTGCACTTATAATTTGATCTTGTTTCTTCCCTTGACACATTCTGTTTTTAAAAGTTATGGATGCACACTGAGACATTCATCAGAGTTTAGGACAGTCTCACAAAATTGAAGTTCAGTTTCACCAAGATGGAGGAGCCTCAAGGCCTTCAGCAGGGACCTGAAGGATTATGCCTTAAAGTAGAGAACAAACCAGAAATGCTCCAGTCCTCACAAATGCAGAAACCCAGCATTGAAGCAGCTTAATCTCTACTTGGATTTCAGTTATCTGCTTATAGTACAAAGTGCCTGACAGAAATAAAAAAGATAAACATGATCTAGAAAAAATAAATCATCTGAAGTTATCTCTATAATTATCATATGTAAAATCATTTTAAAAGTAGATTTGCAATAGATAAAAGATCCACAACAAATAGAAAAAGTGATGAAAATGGAGTCAAAATAAATCTAAGTAATCTGATTATTAGACATAATATTTTCAGGAAATAAACAGAATTGAAGTTTGAGCATAAAATTGGAAGAGACTTCCCTCTGTACCATATTTAACTCATTTCTATTTTGTATTTCTGAAACAGAAACCACCTCTCTTCTACATAACAGGGGTTTTCCTAATTGACCTCCCTGCTTCCATTCCTAGCCTTTTCCACTCAATTTCATTATACAACTGAGAGAGCAATCATTAAAAACATTAATAGGATCAAAGACATCCTGTGAATATTGCAGCACAATTGGTAATAGGTAAGATATAAAATCCACCTAGTGTTCTTCAGTGAATGAAGAGGTAAAGAAAATGTGGCATATATCCACAGTAAAATATTATTCAGCCATGAAAAAAAGGAAATCCTGTTTTTTATGACAACAGGAATGAATCTTGAAAATTTTATGTTAAGTAAAATAATCCAGATACAGAATGATTAATACTGCACCCTCTCATTTATATGTGGCATCCAAAGTTGATTTCATGCAAGTGCAGTAGTGATTCCAAGGCTTGCGGGTGCTTAGCAGGTGGAGGAAGGGAGAAGTTAGTCAAAGCATACTTAATCACAATTAGATAGGAGGAATAAGTTCAAAAAAGCATAGTATATATAGCCAATGACAATATATTGTATTCTTGAAAAATGAAAAGAGTGCTTGTTAAGTATTCTCATGACAAAAATAGTATAGTATCATGTCACTTCTCTGCTCCAAACAACTGAATGGTTGGAATCATAGCCTCAAAGGTTTATATGACCCTAATGTTGCCGACCATATGGACTTCTTCCACACTGCACTCCTCATTCTGACTCAGCTGCAGTGGCCTTCTAGTATTGCCATTCAGCCTTTGAAATGTGGGTTGCTTCTCAGGAATACTCTGGATTTCAAATGTCCCTTTTATTTATGATTCTGCTTCCATCTCACTGTCTCAGAGACGCCTTCCTTGACTACTGTCTATCATGCTCCACCTCCTGTCCATACTTTATTTCCCTTACGTTTATTGACATATTATTGATACTTGATATTTTGTACCAAGATGTAAACTCCTTTAATACAGAAAAATCTTTTTAGTTACCAATATATTTCCAGTTCTTTTTTTTTATTTATTTTTATTTTTTTTAGGTTTAACTTTTTTTGTTGTTTATTGGTTGTTCAAAACAATACAAAGCTCTTGACATATCATATTTCATACATTAGATTCAAGTTGGTTATGAACTCCCAATTTTATTTCCAGTTCTTAAAATAATAGTATCTTGATAAATATTAATTGAATGAGACAATCAATTTATTCAAATGTTACAACCAAACAGTGTCATACATTCTTCTCTTTTATGTGCAAAAATGAATGTACAGGGTTCTTATATTTAAAAAAAAACCTGATAATAGGAGAGAAACACATAAACAATTAGAGATCAATGTGATAACTATAATAAAAAGACAAAGTCCCTATCATAATGATGGAATTTTTTGTTGTTGATTTAGTGGTAAGAAATTGATTTATTTATGTGTCTTCACACAAGAAGTGGATGATTATCCTAAATACTTTTATTCAGACAAACACTTTCATTTAAGTTTAATGAATACAGAATAAAAGATAAATGGTTCTTTATATATGTACCATTCCATCATCTTTAAAGTATATGGTTTTAAAATTTTCTAATTAATATGGATTTTCTTACTACATTCCCATTTCCATCATCATTATGACTGAAGCCATTGTACTCATGTAAATCATTATCATCATTAAAACCTTGCCCTAAACTCAACCCATACTTTATATTTTACTCAAATGCCCCTTTCTGAAGACTTCTCTGGTCTTCTACTTAAATTTCCATTCCCTGTTTTCTGCTCTAATTTTCTAGTTACCATAGCAACATGTAATGCACTCTATGCTTTAACTTTTTATTGTTTTGCTGTTTTCAATCTCTCCAAACTAGAATGTGTGCTCCCCAGGAGTAGAATGCTTCTGTGTTTGTTAACTGCTACATTTTAGCAGATATCCTAATACTTGGCATAAACATATACCTGGCTTGAAAAAAAGCAGGTGCTCAATTAAAAGTTGTTGAAGGAATAATCATGTTTTCCCATTTTCTTCCCTCTAGGAATGAATTTTAATATTGTGTTCATATATAAGGAAATGCTGACACAGAGGTGGGCATATTATAATTGATAATCATATATATCACTGTTAGTGGATGAATATATTAAGCAAGTATATTTACATTGGTACTCCAAATGAGTTTATAACTATCCACATCAATAGTTGACAAAATATTACCCAAATCTTCAAAATTACCAAAACAAATAAGATTTTCATATTACCAAGAATATTCAACTTCATAATAATTCATCATGACATTTGATTTAAATTGCAAGCTTCCATAAATTAAAAGTCTGTTACGTTTTAGTTTTCTATATATCACTTTCCAAAATTATCTATACTAATACTGAAATCAGAATGATTTTTGGTTGGATTTAAATGACTAATTTCAATTTCAATTTCATTTAATTTTTAAAATTCAAAACTACAAAAGTGGGTTTCTGAAATTCAAGTGAATTTCTTATTCCACAATAGAGGAAATGAAGGGTATACTTATCATATGCAAAGTACCAGTCTCTGTGTTGGGGGATATATAGGTAAATGATTACAATTCTTCAGGGAATTCCTATGATATAGAAATTTTGATCTTAATCGTGAAACCTTAACAAGAAGCTCAATAAGTTTGATTAAATATGTGGTTAAGCCTAGTTAAAGGACCATTGGAGATATTCCCTTGTGGAATTAACACTTCTAATATGACTGTGTCTCCACTTCTGTTTCTGACATAAATTAATAAGATTCTATTTGGTTAAAAAATTCTCTCATTAGTGTCCCATCAAAAATAGCACCATTTGCCTCATTAAATTTAATGAGGTTGTTGTTGTTGTTGTTGTTGTTCTATTGGTAGGTGTGGGTGTGTGATATATGTGTCAATGTGTTAGACTTGTATCTTTAGAGAAGAAGCTTTACATAGGCTGGATTTTCTTGAAGCTAGCTATTTCTAGAATGTGGTACATGCACCCTAATGGGCTCAGTACCCAGGTAATATATCTTTTACTTTATTCTGAAATATAAAATGTGCCAGAAATCAGTGCATTTTATGTCAAAAACTCATAATTAAATGATGGCCACATCAGAATATTTTATAATTTATATAATACATATAAAATATGAAAATCACAAAATCAATATTTAAAGGAGAAAAAAATGTATGTTTCTCTTTTGTCTGTAGTCTCCGAACAAAAAAAAAAACTCAAAATAATGAGGAGAATTAACTAAAGCTACCCTTATTCCATCCCCCATAGTTGGGATTTTATTTTGTGAAAAGCTAAAATAATATTTTATTATTATACTGATTAAGTCTTCTGTTTTCAAACTTATGAAAATTAACATGTGATTATTTTAGATGTATATAAATTCTAATTAAGTGCTACAAATACCATCTGTATTAAAGAGGACATTTCTATTTCCTTTTAGCAATTATCAACAAAATAGAGGCACTTGAATACATATACAATATGGATACATTTAAAGAGCATATGTAATGTCTACAGAGTTTTTAACCCACTTGAAATTATTATGGGCAAAAATGATATGAGAACTAGTCACATTCAGGGAAAATATATAAGAAAGTAGATTTCAGGACTCTTTCATCCAATCTTGACTTTCAGATGGGATTAAATAATTCTTAAGAGATAATAATATGTTCTCAAAAATACCTGCAGATTTGGATACATGTAACCTAAAGCTAGAAGAGATTTTAAAAGTCCTGTCCAGAGTTCCTTGTAAGAAAGGAATAGAAGTCCAGAAATATGAAAGGGCCCAAATATAGCCCATAGATTAAAATGAAAAGAGAGTAGAGAAGAGAAGGAGAGAGAGAACAGGCGGCAGGCAGAGGAGGGCTCAAGGAGAATTTAACTACTTTCTCCAGATTAAGTACTATGGGTTTGACTGGTACCTTTTCTATGCTAAAATCTGTGAGCAAAAGCATCCCATCTGAGACTCATGAACAGATCTTACAATTTTGGCTTTAAGAGTAGGAAAAGAAAAGATAAAAACTAATTAGGAGTAATGTGAAAGGAAATATACATTAGAAGAAAAGTTATTATAGGAATTAGAAGAAATGTTACATATCATATTCTATAACTTTAGAGAAAAATGGAAATTTGAACCTATTAAAATAATAAACATTAATGGTAAAGGACAATATGCCAAAAAATGAGAATTTGTTGACTTCAAAAGGAAAATAAAATGTTACAATAAAAATTATTCCAGAAATTAAAACACATTACAATGGCAAAAAGTAGAACAGGTATAATGAGAAGGTTAAGAAAACACATTGTATAAAAAGAATAAGGTTCAAAGCTCTTTTAGAGAATATTGGAAAAATTTAATTCAAAATGGTTGAATACAAGTTTATTTCTTTTAATACTGGGAATTGAACTCAGGGGCACTTGACCACTGAGCAACATCCCTAGCTCTATTTTGTATTTTATTTAGAGGCGGGGGTCTCACTGATTTGCTAAGCACCTCATTGTTGATGAGGCTGGCTTTAAATTCACCATCTTTCTGCATCAGCCTTCAGAGCTGCTGGGATTACAGCAGCTGGGACTGCGCCTGGCAGAATACAAATTTTAATTCTATTCTACTGTCATATTCTATCCATAGCCACAAAAGCTAATATCCATAGGAAGAATATCCAAGGATTTTTTGTTTGTTTGTTTCTATTGGTGGATGAAGAAGAGAATATTAAAAATTATCTTGACTCACTCAATGGTAACAATTTCCAAACCTCAACATGGATGAAACTAGACCAACAAAAACAAAAAAATAGTCATTAAATTTCCTAAAGATAGAATAGAAAAAGAAAAAAGAAACATGACCATCTATGGTTTAAATTTTTACATAAGATCACAGAAATATCAAACACTTCATCTTAAAAATTAATTTTCCCTTTAATGAACAGAGCTTATAAGATAGAGCTTAAAAATTAAATATATCAATATAATAATCATAAGAAACAAAACTAAGAGAAGAATGAGGCCGAACATGAAGGATGCAAATTCATGCTAATGAAATGTTATAAAAAATGCAGCACATCCAATATCAGGAAAACAAAAGATATTCTAGGGATAAGCATTAAATTGTGAGCCAAACATTTCTATGTTTCACCAAAATAATATCCTCCTTCTGGGAAAGCAGCTAGATGTAGTAAACTCTTGAATGGCCTTTTAACATTCCCCTGAACACTCCTCTCTCCCCTTTCCCCAATACATACCCAAAGACATGAAATTCTGAGGACCTAGAGGAAGGACCTAGAGGAACCAGAAAGGGAAGACTCTGGAACCCCTGTAAAACCGCATAGTTCACTGCTTTACTGAGAATGCACTCAAGCAACTGTGATCAAGAAATAAACTGCATCAAGATACAGAATCTGGATTCCAATGTGAAGGTGTATAATGCTATCCTAATAGTAGTCCATCTTGCTAAACTACATTTTCATATAGAATATGATATAATAATGTCAGATTATATAGCTTAAAGTACTCAAAGCAAAAATGATTATAAATATAAGAACAAATTTGAAGATCGTTAATATATTTGCTTGAAAAAAATCAGAGACATGAAAATTTGAAGAACAAAATGATATAAACACAATGATTGACACATCATAACAAAACAAATAAGAATATTTGAAATATTTAAAGAGATTGACTACAGATTAAGCCACAACAAACATATCAATATATCCTCCAAAGCCATATCTCTCAACTACAGTGTTCTCCAATTAGAAGTTAAAAGCAAACAGGATAGCTGAAAAGAATTTTTTTTTCTATTGAAAGTAATAACATGTAAAGAAATAGAAAATATTCTTCTAAAGTTTATTTGGGTTAAATGGATATTAAAGCTAGTATTATAAACTCTTAAAAATGAACATCAGATTATAAAACTGTAGGGATGTGATCAAAACACTAGGTAAGAAGAAAATTCCTTAACTGAGGTTTGTTCATTTATGAAAGATGATAGATGTGAAAAATGGTCTCACATTGACACTCATTATTAATGCAACTGAAAAAAATTCAAAATCAAATGGAACAGAAAAATATTCAAGATCTCACAGGTGAAAATTTTCCTTCCTTGTTTTATGTATAGATATGATTCAAGTGTTCCAGGAAATTTTTCAATATCATTTAAATCCTAAAACTTTTTTTGGTAAGATTAGCATATTTTATGGCCAAAGAAAAATCTCTTGGTCCTATAGGCAGAAGTAAAAAGTCACTTATTAGAAGGCAAAAAAAAAGCCTGGCTTCAGACTTCTGCATATCGATACTCATGTTTAGAGAGTATTAGAGAAAGTCTAAGAGTCAGAAGAAACAAAAGCATTACTCAAGTACTTTATACCCACTCAAGTCTTTGTTCACTTAAAAGGCATCGGAATGACTTCCTTTCTGGGCAACATGGATATCATAATATCTATGTTTTCAACAAATTCAAAGAGTTGAAATAAAATAGTTTCAAGTTAGCAAAATAAATGAGGATTAATCCTTAAAGTACAACTGAGAATTAGAGTGACAGAAGAAAACAAAAATATTGTCAATCTGATGCTATAAAAATAAAACTAAAATACATGTAGATCATTGATGACCAAGTGGGAAGAAGTATACACATTTATCATATTTCATAAAAGGCATTTGCTTAAATTGATGAAGAAAATACTAAAATTTATAAGAATAAATAGGAGAAGAACTAAATCCCATAAGGGAGGAAATGATAAACACAAGTGATAGGCAAGGTTGAATGAAGACAACAGTTGTAAAGCAGATAAACAAAAACCAAGAGAACTGCTCATATGTATTTTTTTTTTTTTTTTTTTTTGCTGTAGGAAGGTAAACCTTATAAGGTGGAACTTAATAAATTCACTTTCCCAAATATATTCTTGTGTTGCACATTAAGTTGGTATAAAATCCACTGAAAAGACTGGTTTGTACTACAAGTTATCTGGCTAGGGATATTTCTATTACTCTGAAATTTATCTTGATTTCCCACAAATTATCTACATATTGCAGAATAACTGCAAATCTAACCTGTAGATTGTTTTCACATAGAAGTT